CAATCAACATAAAAGTAAAAATTATCCAATCTGCAAAGAAAAAAAAATCCCCTTTCTAAACAGTCATTGACAGCTCCTGTGTGTACTTCTCCTTAGGGTTTCAAGAACTGGCGGTGGTTCTCCTCAAACACAAAGTAAAAAATACAAAGTATTTCTTTGAGATTGGATAGCAAGCACTGATCGGAATACCAGAAGTTGTTGGGAAATTATAAGTGCGCCTCTGAAAGATGACAATTGGTGTTGTAATTACAGCAGTGAAAGGGTTTGGCCAGTGCCAACTATTTCAAAGTGCATGAATTTAGGCTAACCAATCACGCACTGACAAACTCTGTGGCACAAAAGTGCAACTTATAAAGAATGCAATGCGATACCCGCATTGCAAGTTCACTCTTCAATTTCTTTGCAATCCGGTCGACCAGCTGCACACCAATGGGCCTTCTTCGAGCATCTTTGGCCCGTCCACACAACCCCCTACTGTGCCTTCTGGCATGGCGGAGTCTGCCCATGGGAGCGCTATTGGGTGACTCATAATCGTAACAGCTTTTCAGCTGGCACGGCTCGGCTTACCGTCCATCAACACTGCTTGGGCAATCTTTGCATCTTAGATGCTCCCTGCGGGCCGTCTTCCAGCACTCGGCAACCTACCGGCCCATCTACGCCCCTGTACTGGCTGTCTGGGGCATAAACCAGTCCGCCAAACAGGTAGTTGTGGTGACTCGCTTTGACTTGCTGTCCAGTCCAGCAACGCCATACTGCAGGGTTCTGCGAGCGGTCGTGGCATTGGTTGGTTGTCCCTGCCACTTTACTACTTGCCTATGGATGGGTTTTACTTCTTTGCCCGCTCATTCCTCCCGCCAGCTCTTATTCCAGAGCGAGTCTAATCCCGCCCACTGCCGGGAGTCTTAATGCTGGGCTATCCTTTGATCAAGGCACCCATGGCGAAATGGATAGTTGCTCAAGAGCAAGGAGTTGGAGGAGACTAGTTTAAGCACCAACCCAACACACGAAGAAAGACTACACGACAAACCGCACACCCCGAACGCTTTTGGAGTTCTGCTCCACATAGCTAATGTTTTTCTTTACATTTGCTACCGTTTCGGTAGCAGATACGATATATGCATATGCATAAGTCTTCACCAATCAAAACGATTGCCAATCAAAATGATTGGCGAATGTAATAAATTATTCATTATTACAATGGGGCGCTTATTCAACACACTGTCCTTTCCTAGCTCTAGACAACAATCTCTTCCAGAATTGCCTCAAATGTGCAGCACCGAAGCTTGGGATTCCTATCAACAAATTGAAACCACGGCAAATGTTGGCTGTGAAGGCTGTTCTGGAGGGTCCAGACGTATTTGTCAATCTTCCAACTGGATATGGCAAATACCAGGCTGCATTGTTGTGCAAAGACTTCATGAACATAAGTGGCCCAGACATACATGTATGTACTCGGACTACTCAGCCCCCCCAACAGTATTGGTTCAGAGAAATGTGAATAATTCATAAACATTAGCATATTGAATAATTCAGATAAACCACTGGAAACCAAGCTCCAAAGGCGCTTGCAGCGGTACATACAGTCCATGACACGCAAAGCTCGGCTACTGCATGCAGGGCTTGCATACAGTTCGTCGTGTGGTCTTGACTATCCATGTTGCCGCGGTTGTGCCTTGATCAAAGGCTAATGCTGGGCCAGCTCACCTATTTACAGTATAGGACTACCTTGCTTGTTCCGTGCACTGCAGTTCAGATCGTTCCTCTTGACACTCGGGGTGTTTTGGTGTGGCTGCGCCCACTCCACATAACACGTCACGTAGTCTGTGTAGCGGTTGGTATACCCCTACGTTGACTTTCTTGTGTACATAAAACCATGCAGCTTATGATAGTAGCCAGTGGCGGCTACATAGGTGGTAATCATGGACGCCGCGTAATTGTGAAGTGAAAGCCATGCAATAAAGTGACGGACATTGTTAGCAACAGCTGGGCCACCTGTGTTCAACATCTGCAGGCGGCGGAAACAACAAAACAGATTTCATTCACTGGAGTATACTCTGTGGGTACTAGGTGCAAGAGCCGCCTGCAGCAGGCGGTTGATCTCGGCTTCTACCACGTGAGCGGGACAGCTGGTAACGGTGTCATTTGCGCCTCAGCGTGAGGGGCCACTTCTCGGAAGCGATGTGCCTGGAAACGGGAGAGAGCGTCAGCTATCTCATTACTTGCCCCAAACATAACAAGATATTGTAACGGAGACATACAAGAACAAACGAACCAGATGCATTACACGCAGGCATAGTGACGACTGATGATTGACAATGTGCATGACTGACATATTATCTGTGTGAAACTGAACCCTATGGTTAGCTAAATGATGAGCCCAACACAGTAAAGCTATGACTCGAGGAAAAAATTTTTTAAAAGCAATAGATGGCGGCGTACGCAAAATATCATCTAGCCAACGACCTTGAACCCATCTGCCATCGAAGTATGCACCAAAACCAACACTGGCAGCCGCATCCATATATAAATGGAAGGATGACGAGTCCTCCCATCCAATCTCAGTAACGACAGAAACCCCATTAATGAAGTCAGCAAGCGGCAGCGCTGACAGGCCCCAGTACTGATACTGCTACCACCGTAAGCCACAGCTCGACATCTATGTTTAAATACCCCAAGAGCGTGCCGGGTTTGTCGCTTGAACTGCTCGTCATAAGTCTTCCATCCCTGTCCCGGGAACTGCATGGACGCAGTACGAACTATTTCAGACTATTTCAGCAATTTGCCCACTCAAGAAGGATGTTTAGCAACGTAAATCGCCATAAATGTATGAAACGCTAATCGCCAAGCACCAAACGTATCCATTTTCTTGCTTTTCAACCCTGGTTTCTTAACTACTAACTCATCCCCATCACAAGAAAAAATAAGCTTATCAGGGTCCATGGAGTTAGTATCAACAACGGAAGGGGTGGTTTCGGTACACAAGGAAGAAATGTCACAGTATGCAATGTTCCAGATCTTCTCCTTCAAAGACTGTTGGACGTGGAATCCCAAAGGAAGATCAACGCCTATCTGGAAGAGCTGCTCTAAGGTTAGGTGCTCACCAACACTGTTGTACTCACCGCGTCTTCCAGATCCAGAAGGGGTAGCCACGGACGGAATGGAGCCTGGGGAAACCAATGCTGACACAGCTGGAAGAGGTGAAGGGCATTCTGAGCTGCGCTGTCTTCAGAAGCTACAGCCAACACTGGTGACTGGGAGTTAACCGCCTTAAACTGGCTGGGATGCAGAACAGCGGTGTCCCTTGGCGCTATCAGGTGGGGGGCTGGAGGGACCTGCTGCTGAAACACTGTGGAGCTGTGGGTATTTGACCAAGGCGCCTGGGAAGAGACTGCCGGTGGCGGACTTGAAGTTGCAGTAGGCCTACCCTTTTTAGGCAAACTGTTACGGCTCTGACGATTCTGTGCCACACCACGGCCCTTATTACCCAGCTTGCCTCCGTGTCTTCGATGACCCGGTTCGACTGCTTCACCATGGTGAGGTTGTGCCCCTAAACAGCCCCGACGAGCTTGTACCACCCGAGGCTTGGCTTTCGGCAGCGTTATCTGGTAACTTGGCTACCTCCGCTCTTGTAACCCCAAAAATTAATATCCAGTCGCACTAAACTTCATATATTTTCTTTGCTTTACCTGCGGCGAAACAATGGCACATGTGTGCTTGTGAAGTAAGGCTGTGACGAAAATGATTGATTTCTCGTATGGGCCAAGCCATTCATTTTCAGTTGTTATACATTGTACAACATTCCAGTCAGGTCCCCCCATGCATTTTCAATGTCTAACTGATATGTGAGCAATATAACTTCTTATGTTGCTTTGAATAAATAATTTTATCTTTTAGGATTTGATAAAATGAAATGTATTGGTAATCTACGTACATGTAGGTTGCAGGCAATAGACTCCCCCCTCCCCACCTAGAGTGGGACGAGTCTACTACTACATACCTACTAGATTACCAATCTCCCTCCCTCCTCCCCTCACAGCCACAGAGCACTTTGCATGTCAAAAGTAGGAAGAACATGGCGGCCGCCTTGGCGGGAGTCGCGTGAGTGAGGGCGCACTGCTGGTGATCAAGAATTGAGAAGAATGGAAGTAGTGGACTTGGGAATAATACATACTGTATGTATTGGTAATCTGGTAGGTATGCAATAGCAAACTTGTCCCATTCTAGATGGGGGGAGATTTTAAAGTACCGTTGGCAAAACATAACAATTTGAAAGACCTTAAATTGAAATAAATAACCAACATGCTTTTGTGCGAATGAAACTAACCAATTCTATCCCAAGTTTAATTTACTTTATTTAAGGAATTAGTACTGCAAATGGACTTTTTAAATGATTTAAAAATGTTAAAACCCAGGACATTCAAACCCCTGCACTCTGTTCATTAGAGACTGTGTGCCATAGAACAAGCTTTGGGCTTGTTCTTTTTTTTTGTTTTTTTCAAGATGTTTAGGGTTTTCTTCAGAATTTTCCTGATTTAATGATTTTCAAACAATCTGTAAAATCTGGAATTTTCAAGTTTACCACTGTGGTCTTTTTAGATTTGAAATTGAAATACATGTACATGTAGAACATAAGAAATGGGTGTGTCAATGGGTGCCTTTAGGAAAGCACAAATGTATACCATAGACCATACATTGCTCTGTGACCCTTACATGTAAAACTGTTGGTGATTATTTCATGGATTTGTAAGTTATTTCTGATCTCACCTTGAATATCAGTAGGTATACATACAATGCAAGTGTCATTATTTTGACATTAAAGCCAATATACAAATGCCAAGAAAAACACCTTTTCACAAAAAGACATCTTTTACTAAACATTGTAGCCTTCAAATGGTTTGAAAAGTACATGTTGATGTACCACTAGACTTAATTTTCATTGTATGCAAATCATTCCAGCTTAATAAGCAAGTGTACATGTGCATTTCTTTATGCTTTAATAGTGGTCTCAGATGTGAACTGAGTACATGTTCACTTTCTGCCATGAAGACATCGAAGTTACTCTCTCAATATCGTCAGCTTGATACCCGAGTGCATTCACTAGCCATGAGTTTGAGGTACTGGGCAAGACTCTGTAGGTTGGATAGTCAGTCAGATGGCAGCATACCGGCATATGCGTTTGTCTTGATGACCATCTACTTTCTTCAGCATTGTAACCCACCAGTTGTTCCAGTTCTTCAAGAGGTTTGCTTTGTACTTTTTTTCTCAATGAAGCATACATTGTATTTGATAATTGTTAATAACTTTGAGTAAATATTTCCAGTGTAACAAATTTCTCTCACCTCATCTTTGTATCAGATAATAATATGCTATGCCACATTTTGTTGCAAGTGTGCCTGTCTTAAGTCTTATCTAAGAAACCTGCTGAAAATGAAATTCTAGAATTACTGAATGGCAGAGCTGTCAGTATCATCAGTTGTGTGTATTAACCATCATCATTCACAAATCAAGTGGTGCTGGTTTAAGTAAATTGTCAAGCTTTGTACTAACTGATGCAGCTGTATTGTTAAATGCTTTAGAAATGTGCGTTTTGATGTCTGTGAAAAAAAAAAAGAATCTTGATTTCCCCTCCATCCTTCCTGGGGGTACTGGCAGTAGCACAAAAATCCATGAAACCAATGTTATACAAAACGAGTACAATGATGTCTTTCTCATATACAATACTTCTTATTTTGCCCTTATTACTAACATATGATAGTTCAATTATCAACAAGAAAGCTGACCTTTGACAAAATGAATCAAACTGGAGAATCAGTTTGGCTTCAAAGGTGGTATCACCACCTGAAAAGACATTTTACGGTTTGTGAAGATTTTCAAGTTATGGTTGCCATTTGTTTTTGGTGGAATGGTGTCACGCAGCATTTCTTCTGTGACAGAAGGTTCTGACCTTAAACGTAATGGCCATGTAAGTGGTTTATCGGGTCTTTGTGACTTGTTTGCTAATAACCTTGCCCAGCTAATGAAAGACCGCAGACTTCAGCTGGAGTACATGTACATTGAAAAATGTATGTATATGGTATTTATGTATTTAAAGAATGAGACTTTGGAATGCCAAAATGTGGACAGCCTTGGAGAACTGTGGATCAAGATGTTACGATTTTATGCAGTTGAAGTGGCAGTGGAAAAAATGGTCATCTCTGTGAGAAACCGAGAACCAATAACCAGAGAGGAGCTGAAGATTCCGAATAGAAGGCTGGCTATTGAAGGTATAATTTGAAGATAGCATTTTTTAAAGTTCCACTTGGATGAGTTGACAGGCACATAACATTTTTGGCAAGGTGCGAAGCAAATACCAATTTCTGTCCATCTGTCTGTCCATCGGGGCGGGAATTGTTTTCCGGCTGTCCACCCAACGGTGAAACATTTGCTTGTGAGCATATGGGTAATAATATGTGTCATTTGTGCTTGTTTGTTTCATTCTTAATGTTTTATCAGTATCAGAACTTTATGTGAGATCATCGCATTGAGGTGTTGTTTGCATGTACATGTATATTTAAAAAAGAAATTGACCCCCCCATGTTAAAGTGTTTAATTACATGTATGTTACACTTACATGTACACCTACCATGCCTTTAGTGTGCATGTGAATACTGTACACTCCTGTAATGTATACACATGTACATTACAATGTGTACAATGTGTACTTACATTGTTGCAACACTTCACAAACACTTTGGTTTGACCTGAGCTGTGTCTTCTGTGCCATTTTACTTGCATGCATGACTGAGTGAATTTCTCTAGTGTTCTTCAAATAGGTTTAGCGCTGAAATATTAATTGGACAAATTCAAGCAGGCTAATAAATTGTTGAATATATTCCATGTTACCAGCTTATGGAGTGTGATGAGTTGCATCAAAATAAAAATGTGCATTGCTGTTGTATTGATGTATTCTGATACACCCTTTTTCAAACAAACGTTTCATGGGTCTTTCAGTAATACATTTCAAATATCATTTTATGAATAACTTGCATAAAGCCCTTCTGTCACAGATTACTGAGGATTTTTTTAGTTGAGCTAAATACACGTATAAAGAACAGATGCAGAAGTCATTTGTTGGATGTTTTTGTAATTTACCGTTCATGATTTACCCTTCTTTTTTTCTGCAGTGCCACTGATAATTACATTTTTTCAAACAAACCAAGAAAGAAATTGACAAAGTACTTGTGTAATAAGCTACAAAGCAGAGAAAGTAAATATTCCTTAAAAAATAATCGAGAAATTAAATTGACTTTGATTCTTTTTCTTTTTCTACCTCCTTTCGCTTTCTTTCTTAGATCCCATTGCCCTCAATAAGAAGAACATTGCCAAGTCGCTTACCTCCAACACTGTCTTTCAGTACTTGATGGACCGACTTCAAGGAGCTTTGCTTTATTTTGGCAAGCCACAGAAGACAACATGTACGTGCAAAAGTCAAGCTGTGAATAGCAACAAGACTTTCAGTGCTCCAAATGCAACCCAACCACATTGTGATAATGATACCTCAGAGGAAGATGATAATTGTACCAAAAGTGAAACTTCAGATGACAATGCTACTAAAATTTTGGATCTGGGAAATGCAGGTCTTCAACCTAAACACTGTGTGGAATTAGACACTGAAAGTCAGCAGACCAGATTCAGAAAAATGTGTGTAAGTGAAGAAAATGTAGGCAGTAGCATACCCAAAGACTTGAAAAAAAATGCCACCGGTAACTCCCAATTAACTCAGTCCAGCAAGGGAAGAGAGTCTTTTTCAACTACGTACAAACAAAAAACGAAGACGGAGGATGATTCAGGCATGGAATATGTCAGTGACAAAAGCTCAGTGGGAAGAAACTCAGATACATGTAATTGTGTTTACTCATTAACTGTTGATTCTAGTGGAAGGAATGATTTAGTGAGTGGAGTTGACGCCAATGATCAACATATCAGTACAACTTGTGAGCAAGATTGTGATGTGCCAGACAAGCAGATTTGTTCAGATGATTGGTTTGAGGCTGACGTTGAACAAGAAAAGGAATCCACTGCTATAACTGATAGCCAGCCTGGTGATAACAAGTCTGAGATCTCATTTTGTGAGCATAGCCTCAACTTTACGTTCTGTGAAAAGATTCTAACTGGTGGTAAGAAGGTCATCACAGTTTGCAATGGCTGTGGAAAAGAGGGCCATAAAGTTGCTGTAAGTATTTCCTGAAAGAATTTCTCGATTGCAGAGTTCTGAAAAAGTCAGGATGAAAATAATTCCATGTTTATTGTTGGTATTTATTAATCAGTTCCTGCCGGGGATTCCGGTACCAGGCATGTATGCTGGGAACTGGGCCTTGTAACAAAAGACCGTACTCAGAACAAAAGATCAGGCTGCTGGGCCTTACCGACATTATTTCACTCTCAAAAGTGGAGATAAGCCAGCCCGTTTTGAAACAGTATACCACGGTTTGGGGCATTTAGATCAAGCGGATTACCCTCGGGGACAAAAGCGCTCCACCACCACAGCGATGAGCCACGCAGCACCGCTGCATGCTAATCTGGCCCCTATTGAAAAGAGGTCAGCAGCGCACTGAGCCAGGTTTGTGAAGAAAAGAAAGTTATAAAACATCCCACAATCTGGGCTCTTTTACAAGGCTGCAGGCCTGGCTGAAATACTCGGGTGTCAATAGTTTTGTCTGTCAGGCTAGAGTAGCCACCAGACAGTCCTTCACGTGGGTGTAAGTGTCCAGTAAATGAAGATAGGAATTTTTAAAGAGTTTTGAAAACAAAGAAAAATGATAATTATCCCGCCCCAGCATCATCAACATTTTTAACTGCCACCGGCAGCAAGTGGTTAAGGGGGCTTACCAGTAAGGCCTTACCGTTCTTCCGTCCACTGACTTGGATACTTCCATTTTCCTCAAGGGGAGATATGAAACCCTATTTTTATATAAACAACATTGGGAAAGCGTAGAACGAATAAAATAATTTCAAATCACTTTACACAGAAACTAATTATTACTGTATGCAAACAAAATGTTTTATTTCACAAATTTTTATACATTAAAAAAATACAGAAAACAATAAATGATGCATATTTTGGTCAGTGAATTCAACCAGGCATCGCACCGTTCAACAAAGCAGCCTTTCGATGGTGGAGGAATTGCAGGAAACCGTTTGGAATCACATATCACAAAATTAAACACCAATTTGTAAATTTCTGATAATAAAGAAAACTCTATCACAGTGTGTACATTCATTAAAAATCCTTTTTTATTTCACAGACATTCATAAAAGCGCAACAATTCCAAAGCTTAAAGCACAGGTGCATGGCCGCCCCGCTCATGAATTAAATAATCTTCAAGCAAGAAGGATCATGTTTGCGCCTTGCTCTGTGCAATCATGTTCATATAGACTCGACTCATCGTGGCATTGATGCACTGGCTCTAGGCCCACATGACTTGACTAGTCATGGCTATTGCAACTAGTCAAGCTTGGTGTGTACAAACTTTACTTGGGCAGGGTGCATTTGCTCTGAACAGGCAATCGCATGTTGTGCCCATGTGGCACGGCGCTTCATGCTCTGCGGGGCCTGGTGGGTACTCCATTGTGTAGTTGTGGGCATGTACATATAAATTCAACTACTATCATCAGTGAACCACCCAATCATTGATGTCAGGAGTTCCAATCTCAGATTATAGCATAATATCTGACCATTAATGAACATACCTTTCTGATCGCGGTTTGGTCTGGCTCTTTGATACACACAGGTCTTTGAATCAGCCATTCCAATCAGGGACTTTCCAGTTGACATTGATATTTCAATGACCTGACCTAAATTTGGGTAGGACATTCTAAACACGAAGTAAACAGAATATTCATGTTTGCAGATGAACATACACCATTCTTACCACGTACGGTCATCGCTGTCAAGTGCTCTCTTTTTAAAAAAGTTCCCAGACTCCAGCGGACTTCCCCGGGAAGAATGGTGAGGTCTTACTGGTAAGCCCCCTAAACAGGGCTGTTTTACGTCCATCACATTCTCAAGGTCAGGATGACATCACAAAGGACTTTTAACACATGGCAAAGGGGCCTTTCGTGCTATTCTGTAATGTACAGAAGTTGAGGATGTCTGACCATGAGAATGTTTTGTCACCTATCTTTTCACAAGTCCCACTGCAAGTACAGGCCTGAGTAGCAGACCTCAACATTATTTTATCACTCATCCATTGGACTAGTGGCATTAAATACTGACTTGTTTGGTTGCTCACCCCATCGAGGCTGTGTTGCACTAACTATTGAATTTCATGCTTTACGTGCATGTAAATTACAGTGGGATATATTAACCATGTAGAGATGGCCAACAGTGATATGTACCCCCACTTCAAAAACTCTGGAGAAATAGAAGTTTCTCAGGTGTTCAATTGAGACACACCTCAAGTGAAAGTTTATTACTTCATCTTTCGTTGCCTTTTGTTTTCTTTTCTTCACAAGCCACTGGTAAAGACACTAAAAGGAATAGACAAAATTATTTCTTTCTAGAAATAATCACTCCTAAAAAAGTCATATAGAACATGACATTTTGTACTCTGCAGGCTCATGGCATGATGCATAAAATACTTTGTAATAACATGATACTCGTGTGATTTTAGCATGTGAACAGGAACAAAAGTCCAAGGTGAATTAGCTGACTGCTAATCTTGGCTGTGGAAAACTGTTCTAAGAAAAAATCTTGTTCTTTGGGCAGTTTGTTTTTAATGTCACGGACTGATGAGTAGCAGGATAAATAGTGACAAGGAATCATCGTGTTGCTGCTCATTCGAACAGCTTATTACTTGGCTTAAGACTTGATGGCTTCTGATCAACATGTGGGGTCCTGGGATGTACTCAACTTCACCATCATTGTTAATAAATAATTGGGTACAAAATTAATAGATACTGATGTAATTTAATACAGATATTAAATCAACGTGGGTAAGATCCAACCTGGGTTGGAGAGTAATTGTACATGCACAGTCAGAAAACCCCAATAATAACACAAGGATGCTACTAGCCAATTCTGAAAAACTGTGGATGAACCTATGCTTTTTACAGAAGCTAGCACAGGTAATATTAGCTGTTTCAGGCACCAGCCACAGCAGTTTTTGTTTTTATGTAAAACTTTCTTTTTGGCTTTTTGGCATATTTGCAAAATGCCATTCTTTTTGTGTAGATTTTTTAGCTCTTTCAAGCACCAGCCAAAACTGCTTTTGGTTTTGTTTTAATTTTAAAAAATTGTGGGGGGGGTCTTTTTCCATTTTTTGCCCGTAGACATAACATGGCACACAGACCATCCGAAGATGTGTGCTGAATCATGATGTCATCATGACATCATCACCTCATTTATTATGGAATTTTGAATATCTAATTTTTTCCCACGTTTTGTACATATTTTCCAGCAGCCTCACTTCACCACTGCTATCAACATGACTCCATTAGGTGCATACTCTAAGCCCAAAAGCTTGAGAAGGTCTGAGCACAAAGTTATCATAAAGATGAAAATTCATGGGATGACGGTGTCATCAGGTAACAAGTTTATAGAAACCTACTTCAGATACAACACAAGACACTCAATTATACAAACTGAATATTATTTATACAGTGCCATACTCTGCCCAGTGACAACAGACCAGAAATACACCAACTTACATAATGTTTGCACTAAACAGAGAGGATTTAATGGCACCGTGTACTGTGTTCTCTTGTGTCGAAGTGGTGTTGTCTGACTACAGATTATAGAAACCTATGTCAGATACAACACAAGACACAAAATAATATTGTTATAAACTGAATATGATTTAATACAGGGCCAAGTTGGTGAGATGCATTACAATCCAAAATGTGCACAATACAGTTCTTCGGAATATCTGCAGAAAACTTGGGGGGGTCTTACTGTGAACACAATTATTACAGAAACAGACTGGGATTTCCAATGACCCACTTTTATTACCGTTTAAGTCTGTGAGTAAGGGTCAAACGTTTAAGTGTTTAACTGTTTAAACGGAAAAAAGTATTTATCCGTTAAGAGATTTTCCTAAACGGTTAAACGGAACTAACTGTTGGAGGTTGCACAAAGTGTAATTGATGCAATCTGGGTTAATTTTCCTTTTCAAACGATGCAGCTAAAGTGTATTTACATTTCGAAACACTTCAGCACCTGGTAAAGTCGAAGGAATTTTCGATAACTCAAAGCCCACATTCTTCATTTCTGCTGAATAAATTACTGATTCTCTGTGGTAGCGATGTGGTGACCACACTGGATGGAGGAAGCTTTGTGTGTGCCACTGCTATAGCCTTGGTGCCGCTTACATGGTGACTGTCCAATCACAACCCTTTACAGCACCCAGTGAGCTGTGATGCGTCCTCGCTCCGGTGCTGTAAGTGTGCTTTTTGCGTAGCCAAATCTCACCTGAATACAAAAGTTAAAATTTGCTTTCTGGTGTTTTTTTTTTCTGGTGTATTCTTCTGGTGTGTGCATTATATCGAATTCATTAATTACTGCTTTATCCATTTTTGTGAACAGACTAAAGCGTAAATAGACCCTATTTAGTTTTTGAGCAAGCAGAAAAAGTAGACGTTCCTCAGTTGTAAGATGAAGGATTGGGTACCCAAGGTTTTATTTGTCTAAACATCAAACAAAAATATTCAGCTCTTTTAATACTTAACCGTAACACTCCTCAATCCGCCAACAGGTGAAGGATTGAGTAAGGTTAGGGTTAATACAGTGTTGGAGGTCTCGAGACCTGGTCTTGGTCTCGAGACCGTCTCGAGACCTTTTTTTGAGGTCTCGGTCTCGGTCTTGGTCTCTGCCTACAAGAGTCTCGGTCTCAGGAGGGTTGGTCTCGGTNAAAGAGAAATCGCCCCAGGAGTGATTGACAGCTCTATTGTGCTGTTACACACGATGTATATTTTGAAGTATTTGGGGTCTGGGTCACATATCTTTGAAGATGCCACTATTTCTTGGAAGATTTGCTGGGCAGATGTTTTGATCATAAATCCTCAGCCAATTAATAAGTTGATTCTTGCAAGCAAAGCAGCCATTGGTAGGATTGTTACACTTAGGCGGTCCCAGAGTTATGCCACTGTTGCCAAGAAACAGTATTACCATGGGAAATCCTGGCCCCTCTCCAGCATCCAGCCTGGACACCAGCCCGGCTTTTTTTTTTTTGTTGC